ACCCCAGCCAAAAAAAAAAAAAGAAAAATAGAAAAAATAGCTGGGTTTTGTAATGGGCACCTGTAGTCCCAGCTACTTGGGAGGCTGAGGCAGGAGGATAGCTTAAATCCAGGAGTTCGAGATTGCTGTGAGCTATGATAAAGCTGGGGCATTCACCTCCACGGTGACAGTGAGATTCTGTCTCAAAAAAAAAAAGATACTTGATTTCATTTTGACTTTGTTGAATTTCTTCCTACTTGTTTTGTGGTCTAACATAAGGTCTACCCTGGAGTGTGCTCCATGTCCTGATGTGGAATGTGTATAAGTCCATTTGGGGATGCAATCTTCTGGAAATATCTATTAAGTCCATTTGGCCTAGAGTACACTTTAACGCTCATAATTCTTTGTTGATTCTCTACTGGAATGATCTATTTACTGTGCAGGTGGGGTAGTAAACTACTCTGCTGTTTTATCTCTCCTTATCTCATTTGTTAAAATTTTCTGTGTATATTTGAATGCTCCATCATTAAGGATGTGTATATTTGCTATTAGTGCTGACAGCATATCTGCACATACCGTGTTTCCCCCAAAATAAGACACTGTCTTATATTTATTTTTTCTCAAAAAGACACACTAGGGCTTATTTTCAGGGGATGTTTTATTTTTATTAATCATAATACAACAATCTACATTTATTCAAATACAGTTAAGTCATCTTCTTCTGGAACCCAACAGGGGGAGCCAACCTTTTTGGTGGGGCTGGCGCTAGTGATGCATGGACTCCTTTCCCCTAGCCATTCGCACGTGTGCAATAGGATGCCTGTGACCGCAAGTGCGAACGGCTTGGAGAAAGGAGCTGTGGCAGATAAAAGGTATTCCAGTCTTCCTTAGCGCTCCATGCCGAAATGCATGGCATGGTGATGCAGATACGCTGCATAGCCACGCCCATCACTAGGTCTTATTGTCAGGGTAAGGCTTATATTTAACAAATGCATAGAAGTCCTGCTAGGGCTTATTTTGGGGGTATGTCTTATTTTCGGGGAAACACGGTAATCTTCTAGCATCTATATGTAGAATTTGTAGATTATGTGCCTAGAAGTGGAATTCAGAAGCCATTCAATTTGATACATTTAATTTCATAGCTAATATTATAAGACCTATAAACATAGTTTCTTCCCACATTATCAAACTAAGTTTCTTTTAAATCTCTTCCACTTTTGCCTCACTATGAGAGCTTATTCATGTAGTTAACAATGCGATAGTTAAGTGCTGGCTGCTAAATCAGTTTTTCCTTTCTAGCCAAGTTGTATTTTTAACTGACATAGTATAATACTGTTTCCATAGATTTGTAAGCATGTCTATGCCTGCATGCCCACATAAAAATGTATTACATATTTAGTATTCCAGTTAGTGAGGTGCTTTTTCCCCACAATATTGTTAACATCTTCAAAGGCAGGCCTTGACAATATCCTTCGGCTTGCTATCATTGCTTCCTCAAACACACCTTAGCAAACTAAGCCAAAGAATGATCCCTCTGCACACACATCCTCGCTGCATTGCTTCCTGCCTTCTTGTTTTCCTCCATCCTTGGCCTTTATTCATGTGTTTTCCGTGTCTAGATGGACTATACAAACACGTGTTAGCATATTTTTGTATTCTTTTTTTTGAGACAGAGTCTCACTGTGTCGCTCTCAGTGGAATGCAGTGGCATCACAGCTCACAGCAACCTCAAACTCTTGGCCATAAGCGATTGTCTTGCTTCAGCCTCCCAAGTAGCTGGGACCACAGGTACCTGCCACAACGCCCGGCTATTCTTTTTGTTGTTGCAATTGTCGTTGTTGTTTAGCTGGCCCAGGCCAGTTTTCAACACGCTTGCTTCGTTGTTATATGGCTGGCGCCCTAACCAATGAGCTATGGGTGACGAGCCTACTTTTTGTATTCTTTTTTTTGAGACAGAGCCTCAAGCTGTCCCCCTGGGTAGAGTGCCGTGGCATCACAGTTCACAGCAACCTCCAACTCCTGGGCTCAAGCTAGTCTCCTGCCTCAGCCTCCCAAGTAGCTGGGACTACAGGCACCTGCCACAACACCTGGCTATTTTTTGGTTGCAGCCATCATTGTTGTTTGGCAGGCCTGGGCTGGATTCGAACCTGCCACCTTAGGTGTATGTGGCTGGTGCCTTAGCCACTTGAGCCACAGGTGCTGAGCCTACTTTTTGTATTCTTAATTACACTGTTTCCACAGGACCCTCTCACTACCCACACTATTGTCACTGTGTAAGTAAACAGTTGCTCACTGTTGGAAAACTTTTTGCAGGATGCTACCTGAGTCGTTACTTCCTCTGGTACCTAAATCAGGATGTGCCCTGGGTGATGACTCACACACCATTGTCCATGAAGGATGACTGAGTAAACCTGTTGTTAACACAGCTGAGACCTGTGTCCCTTGAGCTGTTCCTTCCTGTGCTCCTGTTTCCTGTGACCTGTTGTTTCTGGTGCTGCTTGGATCAGCAGTGGCTCCTAAGAACATGTGTGAGCCTGCAGGCTTTGGGTCAAGTCTTGTTCTTCTTATTTAATGTGCAAATTTGGGTTAGAGGCATAAATGTTATGGACCTGCTGTTTTTACTTGAAACATAACAGTTTATCTAAACATTCTTCTAACAATTTGTTGGTGGTTAATGGCTAAGAATACTGCATGGTGTTTGTAAAGACTGCAAAACTGTGAGTAGGACTTCAGCAGCTAAATTTTGGCCAACATTAATATAGTTGCCTGAATTATGTTGTAAAGGATTTTCTTGTTCAGTTTGTATCAAACAGTGTTTTCTGTGACCCCAGTTAATACATTTTTCTAAGTACAGCCTCGTGCTTTCAGCCCATTGCAATATGCTTTAGCATCAGGACAGAAAATTTCTCCTTTCAGGGTTAACATAGGCTTTTGCAGAGTGTTTTCATTATAGGTTGTTCCATATAAGGCTTCCCTGCAGTTGTTTTGAATTCTGTTTAATCACCTTTTTCATTTTTTAAAAGATTTTCTAAAGAGGCTAGGCATAGTGGCCCATGCCTGTAAATCCTAGCACTCTGGGAGGCCGAGGTGGGTGGTTCACTTGAACTCACGAGTTCAAGACCAGCCTGAGTAAAAGCAAGACTGTATCTCTACTAAAAATAGAAACAATGAGGCAAGAGGATCACCTGAGCCCAAGTTGGAGGTTGCTGTGAGCTATGATGATACAGCCCTCTACCTAGGGCAACAGCTTAAGACTGTCTAAAAAAAAAGATTTCCTAAAGATTAAAAATTATGATCGGAAGTTTTATAACTTTGTTATACCTTTAGTATGATGTTATATACTTCAATAGCAGGTATTTAATGAGCATCTGTGATTCATCAGACACCTCTGGTTGTTTTTATCTTGTAGGCATCTCTTCTGCACGTGTGATAAATGAATTGCCACCTAAAGAGAATAATGCAGCAGAAATATCCCCCACGGTGATATTGGAAAGGCACCAAAGCCATGTCATTGAAGACTTTTGCTTTAGGGAAATCCAGAAGAATATACATAACTTTGAGTGTCAGTGGAGAGATGTTGAAAGACATTCCAGTGGGATCCATATGACCCCTCAGGGAAATCTCACTGGTAGGAGAGATCAACATGGTAGGAAGGATTCAGGAAATAAACTTACTAATACTCAACTGAGATTGAACATCCAGTCACAACCAGTAGAACTGCAGCTATTTAATGGTGAAAAGAAAATTTATGAATGTAATCCCATGAAGAAGTCTGTCAACAATGATTTCTTGGTTTTGCCACCCCACAGAATTCCTTCTACTATCAAACCCCACCTTCCTCATGAATATGAGTATGATCTTATGGATGCATTCTTCACACAAAGACAGAAAGCTTACCTAGGGACAGAACATTACAAATGTAATGAGTGTGGTGAGGCCTTTAATCAAGGCTTACATTTCACTATTCATCAAATAATGCATGCAGAAGAGAAACAATTTAAATGTGATATACCTGCCAAGGTCTTCAATAACAAAACAAATCTTGCAAGTCCTCGGAGAATACGTGGTGGAGAGAAACCTTATAAATGTAATGCATGTGGCAGGGGCTTCAGTCATGAGTCATCCCTAGCAAATCACTGGAGAATTCATAATGGAGAGAAACCTTACAAATGTAATGAATGTGGAAAAGTATTTCATCGAATTTCAAACCTTGCACAACATCAAATCATTCACACTGGAGAGAAACCTTACAAATGTAATGAATGTGGAAAGGTCTTCAATCACATGTCATACCTTGCACAACATCGGAGAATTCATACTGGAGAGAAACCTTACAAGTGTAATGAATGTGGCAAGGTCTTCAATCAGATGTCAAACCTGGCACAACATCGTTCAATTCATACTGGAGAGAAACCTTACAAATGTAATGATTGTGGAAAGGTCTTCCGTCAAAGTTCAGTCCTTGCACAACATCGGACAATTCACACAGGAGAGAAACCTTACAAATGTAATGAATGTGGCAAGGTGTTCAGTCAGAATTCACACTTTGCAAATCATCGAAGGATTCATACTGGAGAGAAACCTTACAAATGCAATGAATGCGGCAAGGTCTTCAATCAAAGTTCACACCTTGCACAACATCGGAGAATTCACACTGGAGAGAAACCTTACAAATGTAATGAATGTGGCAAGTTATTCAGTCGCAATTCATACCTTGTGCGACATCTAATAATTCATACTGGTGAGAAACCTTATAAATGTAATTAATGAATGTGGCAACATATGCTGTCAAATTCACACTTTGCAAGTCATTGAGGAATTCAAACTGGAGAGAAACCTTGCAAATGTAATGAACGTGGCAAGGTGTTCAGTCAGAATTCATAACTTGTAGAACATATACTCCATATGGGAGAGAAACCTTAGAAATGTAATGAATGTGGCAGGGTATTTAGTCAAAATTTATACCTTGTGCAACACCTAATAATTCATAACTTGTGAGAAACCTTATAAATATAATGAAAGTGGAAATGTCTTTAGTGTAAACTCCTCCTTAGCGCTTCATCAGCGTGTTCATACTGGAGAGAAATCATACAAATACAAGAATTGTGGTGAAAACTTTAGCATGCATTGAAGCCTTAGTACTATCACACAGTACATATTGGAGAAACATTTGAATGTAATGAAATGAATGTGGCAAGTGTTTCAGTGAAAATTTGTAGCTACCACATCATCAGAAATTTTATGTTGGGAAGAAATCTTATTAATGTGACAATTTAATTAATGTGGGAAGATAATGTTCTCAGCTTTAAGGCCTTGGAATTCATTGGATAATTCATACTAGAAAGAAACTTGCAAGTGGGATGAATGTTACAAAGCCTTTAGTTGTCATGTAGGGGGCCCAACCTTTTGACTTCTCTGGCCCACATTGGAAGAAGAGTTGTCTTGGACCATACAGTAAGTCCACAGACACTAATGAAAGGTGATGAGCAAAAATAAATGTCTGGGTATAATTTTCATGGTATGTGTCATAAGGAGACATATGTAAAAGTCCTTACATAATTCTCATATGGCTTTTGAGCTGCAGATTGGACACACTACATTCAGACATAGACCAAAGTGCAACATTAATTATTCTTTACGTGGAGATGAATTCAAATGTCTTCTAAAGTCTCATTTTCCTGACTGTTCCACACCTGACAGAACATTTTGAAAGAGAAAACAAAAGGCCTATAATTGATTACAATCTTGATGTAAAAAGAACGTTTTACAGTCTTTCTGAGTGCATGTAAGGTTAATTTGAAGTAATAGCATATTCCGAAATTTTGATGTAAGCATATTACTGCCAACAAAGTTTATCTCAAAGTATTTGAGATTAGCTCATCCCATGTATACAAGTTTTATGAAGAACTATATTGTTAATATCTACTTTTACAAAGTTATTGCCTTTTTAAAACCTATAGTTGGTGACCTAACTTATCACTGGCCTTAACCCTCCACATCACACACCCCAGGAGTTGTCCCTGTGACAGTCTCTGAATGAGTCTGAGGTTGACTTCCTCTGGAGCAAACAGAGAAGGGAGGTGGAAAGGTTTTCTGGTCAGTTCTGTTGGGTGTGAGCATGAAATTCCATATTCTGCCCAGAATTTTGCATTTCACATTTTAGTTTGCATCCCCATCACAGGCAATTCTACACGCTTTTGAATAAAACTACTAATACAAATTTTGGTAGCAGGAACTTTTGTGGATCCAATTACTGCCTCATACTGACCCTCCTAGATGGATCCCAGGGCCCAGATCTCTGACTTCTTACAGCCTCACTAGCGGGTCTTGTCTGCAAAATCCAGAAAACAGACATGCTCTGGGCAGGAGGCAGAGGAATGTGGGATGTGCAGGCCCCACACTGCCTGGGCCTGGCAGGCAGCTGCAGAGTTTCTAATAAACCCAGGAGAGTACATGGAGACCAGCTGTTTTTTCCAGTACATGTAGTGCAGCTGTTTTTTCCCACCTATATTAATGCAGCAGCTGTTCCCTGATTCCTTTCTCTGTCTTAATTCCCAGATGACTCAAATTCAGCCTATTTTATTCCATTGCCCCGCCTAATCTCTCAGCTGTTTATGATGTAGAATCACTTTGCACCTCCAACATCTTAAGTTTAAACCTGGGCTTTGCACTCCTGCACCTTCTGTACCTTGGATCTGGCAGTCCCTACAGACCTTAAAATCCCTGTACTGCCCCCTTGACACACCTCCCTGTGAGAGTCTCAGAATCAAGTCACTTTGGGTAAAATCATTCTGAGAAAGATTTCTGCCTTCAATCTTTCTGCCTTGAGTCATGTACAAAGTTTGACAGTATCAAAAATAAGAGAGAAAAGAAAGAAAAAAAAAAAGTCACTGAGGGCCAGATCAACTGAGTAAGGGAGGGTGTTCCAATACAGTTATTTGATTACTGGGTAAAAATTCCTTCAGAGTGCTAGGGGTCACATTTGTTAGTATTGTTATTCAATTTTTATTATGTCTTATTCAAATATATATTTGTTCATGTTTGAATTTTGCTTGATGTTATACTATGTGGTGACAATGTTAAAGTATATTCCAATTCTGTAATCCCAGGAAATAATAAAAAAAGAATTCCTTCAACCCATGTCCTTGCTCACTAATCTGTTTTTTCTTAAAAGAGTTCACTGCAAAGAACCACACTTCCCTACAGCACTTCATTAAGTCTAATAAGCACCCATTGTTTATATAAGAAACAGCAATCCTCCAAATTCCCATCATTTGTCTCATCAAAGGTCACTAAATTGTTCCCACCAATCAAGGAGAACAATATTGGTTAACTTGACTTAATCAAACTTCAGTTCAGGCTCGGCGCCTATAGCTCAACCGGCTAG